AGCCGAGCAGTTTAGTATTTATTCGATAAATACTTATTTATTTTATTTTATTTTATGCCAAAGGATCGATGACTCAGGATCCATGTGTGTCAGGTGGATAAAGCATCTCTAACATTTGCCTTTCTTGAGGTTAGTTTTTAATGCATTTGATGCGAAATAAACAAATTCAAACCGTAAGATTTATTGTATTTCAAAACAAGTATTCGGAGCTCGTTCAGAAATAGGTGGCTAGATGATATTGCACCCTTAATAGCTTGGTGAATCGGTTGGAGTGATTAGTTTGGGTTGACTTGTTGAAAGTAGTTTAAGCTCAGAGTTAAGGCAAGACTTCCTCACGGTACGAGTTAGTTCGAACAGGGAAGTAGAAAGTTGAGATTTTTGGAGATCTCGGTCATGAGGGGTCGCTATAAAGGTCATATAACTGAGGTCGTTTAAGCGACATGATAATTGTATGAGACACCAGGGTCATGGTTCAGTGTGGCGACCTGAGGACCTAAGAATCGTAGTATAAAAGGAAACAAATCCTATTGGAGATGGTAAGTTGATAATCCAAAGAAAGAAGGGATATCGGAGACTTGTCGTACTAGGAAACGTGATATGATCAAATCTCTTTCCTAATAATGAGGTAACATGGGAAGGAAGACAACCTTCTTATAGAAGGAGGTTATCAAGTTCTTTTCACAACCGTACGCATATTACTCTTATACAATAATACACAGTCCTTGTAAGCCCCTCTACTTATACATTGAAATCTCAGAGTTTTTGAAAAAAATGAATCGAACTTTTCTAAAATAATTTAATTATTTAAAACATGCTTGCAGGGTACTTACTAAAATAATTTAATTATTATCATGTCTGCTTATAATCATTTCAGGATATCTGATCCCGACATGTTCAATTCATTAAGACCTAACAAAGCGATCGATACTAGTATGATAAATGAATTGAAAACTGAAACTGGAATCCAAACAAGGTTCAAAATAACTGATAATAACATGATCGAGAAATGAATTGTTTAATAGCAGAAGCAATAAATAAACTGCATATGACCACCACTAGCCCCTCATGAGTCCTGCCCAACATGCTAACTTGAAAAAGATGATTGTGGGGGCTGACCAATAATCAACGTGCTCATCAATATTCCATACTATGCAATTATTCATGATAAAAACATATACATATGAAATCGGTATATATATAAATGAACTGTAATACTCATATTGCAGACTCCCTGACACTAGCCGGTATTCATGTGCACACTCTGGGTCGCCTCCCACAGAACCGGGATGGGTACGCTCACCACCATCCAGGCAAATAGACTAGAACGGGTACGCTCACCACCATTCAATCATAAATATCTAGGACGGGTACGCTCAGCACTATCCAACTTACATTATCAATATAAAAATACCTCAACCATAAATACCTTGTGTTTATTAAGAATTAGAACATAACATGGAAAATCCCCACATTTTAAACTCACTAGACTGGATGAAAATGCACGTGCGTCTGAATGAGGGCTCGACTCCTCTTAATCTGAATTTTGATTATTAAGTCTTATTATTAGGGTTTTGATTAACCGACACGAGTACGAAAATTAAACAAGTAAGAGCACGCACAACAGTCAACTAAAGCAGTTACAATTCACATAAAATTTTCTAACTTTTCTCGGTTCATACTAACCTCGATCAGTTAAACATAAGTCATATAGGTCACATAAACATGCATATAGAAGGTAAATTCTATTTTTGAAAATCATAACTTAAGTTGAGCAAAACATGCCATGCACAATGTTTTTAAAACAGGTATAGCTTGCAGCACATAGGTCATATAAGCATGATTTAAGTTGAATGTGAATCCTAAGACATGCCTCTAAGACTTTATTGTAGACAACTAAGACAAATAATGACACTTAGCAGGTGATACATTAGTAAACATTCGGAACATAGGTACTGGCATAAAACTGGAATATAATTCATACAGGGTCTCAGTAAAACATATATATATCTCAGGCTACAGACATGATATCATCATGATTCGAATACCATCAGAAAGCTAACAAATATAGCTACAAATTTACATGAAGACCATGAATTAATTTGAGCACATTAGGGCATTGAGAATAGACAAGACATTAATAATACCTGCTATCGGATAACTTCAGAAAACTGCTTGCACTACGATTTTAAAATAGACATATCTCCCTCAATTCAAAACGTTTTCTCAAAATTTTAAAACTCACAGAAGGCCAACAGGACAAGATATAATTTATATGAAGAACATATCTCCAACAAACAGGTTCTTGAAGGTCAAAACAGAGTATGAAACAGACACTCGAAAACAACAAAATCACATAGAATCATGACAATATTTCCCGAACTTCATAACATATCGAAAGCAACTTAAACCAACTTCTTACATGATTTTTCACACTTAAAACCTTGACAATAGCAACATAAATTCAGCCTCTAAAACTCACATGAATACATGTCATATAACCTGCCAAACATATATCAACATGAGACCAAAATTACAACACAACATGCCTTCCTTTTCTTCATTCTTTTTCTCAATCACATACATACATGCTAAGGGCTTTATAAACTGAAGATTAAAGCTCTAAATATACTTCAACTCCAGCATGATAAACACCCAAAAATAGCTCAACAACTTCATGATAACAAGGAGGCTAACAACAACACATAAGCTTCATAGATCTCATCAACTTTAACAAATTCTTAAGAATGTCCCTTAAACCTTTTAAATCTGAAATATAACCTTATAAATTCACTAAATTCAGCCACAAAAGTGGGAAGTCACAGCTCTTTACCTCTCTTCTAAATTTAGAGAAATTGGCCAGAAGGATGGCTCGGGTGAAAGCTAGGCTCTCGACTTTGAAAATGCGGTCTCGGGCTGAAAAGGAGGCCGGCTAAAATGCTTGGAATTGAGATGGCTTGGTTGGAGGGCACTCAAGGTTGCTGTGGCTCAGGTTTTTCTCGTCTCAGGTCACCTTAGGTATTGCTCCCTCTCTCGCTCTCGCTGCTGACCTCGAGTGGTGCTCGGCTGGAGTTGCGCGGCGGCAATGGCTTGTGTTGGCCGAGAGAAAGGTGGCTGGTCACTTTTCTAAGGAACTAAGGAGTTTTGTAGGGCTGCAAATAATATGTTTTCTTAACTTTCTGATGAAAGGTAACAAAGGAAGGTTGAAGGTGTTAGAGTGTTTATAAACGTGAGGAAAACTAAATCTTTTGAACTTCAATATGATGAAGGGATGGGGGAGTGTAGGCCGAGTCTTAAGGAATTTTGTTGGAGTGGTTATTGATGGGCTTTTGACTTAGTCTTGAGGGTTCCATTTCATTAGAGCATCTTCAATGCATTGGGTCTAGTCTTGCCTATGTGACATGTAAATAAACGCAAGTCTTGGATGACATGGATAAAATTATGTAAAATTGATAAAATTCACTCCAATGCAAAGAGACTAGGTCTCTACTTGGGTCTAAAATAGACTTAAGGGTAAGCCAGGTCTCTTTTTCTGGCTGCCACATAAGCAGGACCCAGTCTACTTTTATTTGCATTGGAGAATACATTTTGTTAGACTAGGTCTATTTCTTAATTGGCATACCATATTTTGTGATTGAACCCAGTACATTGTGGATGCTCTTAGTGGTGGGCGGCTGGAATTTTAGCTCGGAGGCTGGTGGAAGTCACCGATATATATGGCACTTGAGGAGCTTGGAGACTTGGTCTTAAGGCAATTTGAATTTCACTAATTGAATAAAAATTGCTCAAGGTCGTGCCTTGTTTTAGGTGCATTTAGGTGGCCAAGAACAAAGCTTTGGAACTTAGAAATTTCTTGAGACATAAACGTAAAGGACTTAGGCTAGAAAATAATAATTATGGCCTAAGCTTAACAAAGTCGAGCTTAGGATAAAATTGGGACTTAGGCTTCAACTTATGAGGCCGAGTTTAGCTTAAATTTTCGAAAATCTTTGAATTAAGAAAAATAAAATAAACGAGCAATCCAACAAATATCTGAACTAAGGAAAATATTAAAGCAATTAGACAATTAAGACAAATTAAGCAATTAAAACAATTTAAGAAAATAAGAAAATTAAGTAGACGAGGACATCTACTGAATCTTAGATGTTTGATCAGCAAATTAAAAAGATAGGGACATCTATTTAATTTGATTGTTGGATTATATGTTTAAACGCCAGTCGAGCTAAGAAATAAAATGCAAAATCTCTTTCTCTTATTTCTAAAACGGAGTATTACAGTCCACAAGCGATATCTAACTTGAGCGTCTAGGGTTTTTCGTCAGGACCCCTCCTGGCATATTTTGCAAGTCACTGGAGGTCGTGATGAAGGACAATTCGTGGTTGCACTTGTCTAAATCCGGTTCGAAGGCAATTCGCTTAACAAAGTGCACTATTTTCCAATTGATATTTAGGTTTTTATTAATTATAGTTTTGTTATACATTGAACCAAAAGCATAAAAATAAGTACAAAAACCATTGCCGTTTTAGAATATTTTAGCAGTGCAAGAAACTTCGCCTACCATACCCTATATTTTCTACAAATTGATATCTTCACCTTGTTAACGAAGCTTTCATTCAAATCTCATTATTGGCGATTTTTTTTGCAACTGGGGCTAAACCATGCCTTGAATTCCTAGTTTTTACCTTAGGATGGTGAGTACTTTGTGAAGAGTGTAGCAGCAAAACGCTTCAAACTGATTGCAACACACGCAAGAAAAATTTTCAACAAGTTAACTAGTATACAACCCTATGCACGAGTATTACATAAAATCCAAAATACTGCATACACGTTATACTATTCGCCAACATCAGCAGTCGGATGCAGCAGAAAAACAACATTTCATCTTTTGATAAAAGTTTCCACATCTGCATTCTTTTGGTTGCACGAAAAAGATCACTCAGTATATTTCCACAAGTTTCTCAAGCATACACTTCATGGTTCTTACACAACAGCCAATAACTTCTTTATCTCCAGAAAGTGTTGTGGGACATGAAAAATTTGTAATCTGGATGGTTGACTTGCAACAGCCTGAGCCAGTTGTCGGCTGCTCGTAGGAGTGAAGTTACCTTTTGACCCTCAAAAACTCCATTTCCATCCCTGTCGGACACTTTGAACTTATATGAAACAAGTCCAAAAGTTGGCAACGAAAGCTTATTATTAGCATCTTGTACCTGCCCGCCACCTGCAGACATGAAAATTGGTAAAGTTAGTTATCCTTAAAAATTACAAATACTAGCTTAGCATGCATTGATTTCTCTTTTATAAAACATGATGATAATAGTCTGTTAAACACAGATTTCAAAGGGCTGTTTGCAACCTATAAATAGATTTATTATTTTTTTTTTTTTTTTGGTGACTTGAAACAATAAATGGACTTGTACATATTTATTTCTGTAAACAGTTCAAGCCACCGGATGGTTTGTATAACAATAACTAAAGCTTAAAACTTTAAGACATGAACAAAGATGGTAAGAGCAAGTAACCTCTAACAGGTTTTGCAAGAGAATGAAAGGTTAAGAAACAGGCGTCGACGTTTTGCAGAGTGGGGCCCACAGGTATCCGGTATATAGGGTACCTGCATAAATAAGACACCAACCCTCTATTAGCTCAGCTTGAAAAATGATTATTACCAAATCTTCTTGATAACGCTAACAAAAAGCTAACCAAGCAATGGAAATCCAACTCGATGGAGTCAGGTCACAGCTTCTGTACGTTTTGAGTTCGGGAAAGCGGGACGCAAGTATCAACATCTGTTAAGTGGAACACGAAATATAATATTTAACAAAAAATGTCAATATATTATAGAGTTCATTAAATTTAGCCTGAAATTATATTTTTAAAATAAACTATCCACTAGATCTTTTTTTTTTCTTTTTTTTTTTGCCGAGGTTAAATCCCATGGATACTCTATGAAATTGTAGTTATTTAATAAATCGTTTGTAAAAATGATATAAATATATCACCCACCTTATCAGCCAATGGCTCACGATGAAAAGGAAGCTCCCTCTCAAAGTACTCGAAAATAAGCAGACCAGGAGGGTTGCTAACCGAAGGTCCTCGTGCACTGTTGGCTCTCGTATTAGTCCCACTTTCAGTGTCCCCATCACTACTCGTGTCTCGTGATGAATTTGCATCGCTCTCCTCACCGGGTCTTCTGTCACAATTTTATAACAAACATCAGCATATCAATATAACCACGAAAGAATCCTGCACGTCTTGAAGTGGTTGAAACATGTTGAAATAGAATTGACGATTGTTTTCTATTCGAACACTATAGTAAAACCACTTAGGCGGGCCAGGTGGCTAGGTGGCACCTAGGCAGGCCAAGTCGCTCCTAGGCAGGCTCGGCGACAACTTTTTAGCTTTTTTTTTTTTTTTTCCTTAAATACTATCTATTTTTATTTTGTTATCATGTTTTATTTATAAAATATTAATATTATTATTTAGACTTAGGTGTGTGGATTTATTATAAGTTAAGGTACTTTTATTTTGTAGGTAGTAAAATGAATAAAAATAATGTATTTAATCTTAACTTCTAGGGCCTGTCGAGGCGCTCTAGGCGTTGGTCGGGCGCTTAGCGACTTCTAGAACATTGCTTGCAACACACTGATATTATATATAATGCGAAAAAATAGCTATTGGACATGAAAAAGAAGAGGAAATAACAGAGAAAATAAGGGAGCAGAACATAAAGGAAAAAGAATATGGAAATAAATATTGCACCTTTGATCCATGACGTGGTTCGTGGGATCTATATACAGTTGGATACCAGACAGGGATGGTACATAATATTGGACAACCGAATCATTCCCGTTCATAAGAAGAGGAACTCCAACCCCGTAAACACTCCATTCCCTGAAAGATTCCCAAAGGTCCCCGAGAATGAAATATGGATTGAACTCATTACCACGATTTCTCCATGATCGCATGCTTGTCTGCAGATATTCAAATGCATTATATCCTAACTTCATAAAAGAAAAAAAAATAAAAAAAAAAAGAATCGGAGTAAAATGTACAGCTAGACCAAGGTCATTGCATGATTGTAGCTTATGGATATTATAAAGTAAGCATTTGATTTGGATATCTATATGAATTGTGTGATGACCACATCCATAGCTGTGATATTTCTCATATCACTATTGCAGTCATAAAACAACAGAAAGAAACAGCGCCATAAACGATAAAAAAATCCAGATAAAAAAGGCCAGAAAGAATCACACCCTTAAAGGGAAACAAAAGAAAATTACATAGGCAAAACAAGGGCCAGAGACCAGCTGAGTTAAAGGTTTAACAGAGCAAGAGAAGAAGGGTTAGGACAAAAAATCATTCCATGTTCCACAGAAGCATAATATCTATCAAATGTTAAGTTATTTGGTTGACTCAGGCAGGAGCCAATAAAAGATATTACATAGATCTTAGATCTATAACTCAGAAGGCACAACAAAATAAAACTCAAGTATTCACACATTTACTTTACATGGGGCTGAACAAAATCAAAAAAATTTCCTATCAACCAACAACACACATGTCAACATAGTAAGTAAAGGAATAAACTCCAACTCTGAAAAACCTCCACCTCATAAGATGGCATTCCAAGCCAACGTAACCCAAATTCCAATGGTATTTTTTTCCTCCCTTTTATTCAAGTCTTGAAGCATCTTCTATCAACCAGAAGAGCCAAAAGATCGTAAGGCAGTCTTTCTTAACTCGATCTAATCAACTAAATGGCAAAATATACATAAAAAAGACAGCATAACCAAAAGACATTGTCTGACCTACAAAATCTTTACGTAAAACTTGAAAAAAGAATACATACTAACAACAGACCTAAAGAATGTCACTTAATTAACCTCAATGCAGTAATATTTTATATCAACAAACTAAAGTTCCAATCGAAAGGCCCACAAGCCACACAGAAATTCCATAAGAGCACAACTCATTCATCCAATGCCCACAAACCAGTTTCTAGTAAACATTTTTAGCAAACTAATCAACAAAAGATAAAATGGATCCCATTCACTTCCAGACCACTTCATCACCACACCTCTACTATTCAAAATCATTTCGCCCTTTTTATATAATTTATTCAAAGTCATTAAAAACAGTATATTACTATTCTGGCGGTCAAAGATCGAAGAATAAAAATGGAAGAGAATGATAAAAAGAATTACCCTAGTAAAATGTTGACCTGCAACAGACGGAGTTGTGTGCTCCAAGAAACGATCCAAATAGGAATCTGACACGAACCCATTTCTTTCCGGTGACGACGAAGGTGAAGACTTAGTTAGCTTCGATTGTTGTTTCTTTTGCTGTTGCTGCTGCTGGTTGTGCACTCTCTGCTGCTGGTTGTGCATTCTCATTGCCGGAGGACTGTAATACAATCTCTCCTCCGCAACTCGCCTCCTCGTCGACATCTTGTCCACTCAAATTAGCAATAGAACAGAAAAATCTCTATTGGTTGAGTTCTGTATGTAGATATGTATTCCCGTATCTGCTTGATCTCTTCAATCACTGGGTTTTTTTTCTCGCGGTACGAAATTAGGGTTTAAGATGGAAATGGATTTAGGGATTTTCGATTAGGGCTTTGAAGAATGGGTTTTTGTATTAATAAGTACCCAAAAA